TACTGTAAGGGCATGAGGTCGCTAGAGAAACTCAGTTAATGGCATTCTGGGATTAAACTCGAGGATCCCAGTCCACTGTGGGGAGGTGGCCCTGAAATTTTCTTTGAAAGTCGATTCCCTAAGTTCCAGTCTGCGTTCTGTAAAATCACTGTACTTTTTCAAGTATGACAAGGCCTTGTGAAGCAAGCTGATTTCCTTGGAAGTAGAAGTGACTTACACCTAGGCTTTACCAAATGCACCTTGTGAAATGAACTTGTCCAAACACTTTCTGTCTCAAGAAAGCATCAAGTCTTTCTCCTCCAGATGTTTTCACAGAACACTTGTTCTTTACACATCTATTAAATTTTAGAAGCATCTAGTTGCTTTTAGCTTTCAAGAAAGCCCATCCTGACAAAGGAGTGTTGCAAGGTAATCAAGCAAGGAGAAATTCAGAGTCTTTGATTTGGGTTAGAATTATGCTCTGGAGGGATAGGAGGGTAGAGGGACAGAACAGAAAACAAAGACCACCGTAAAGACTTGGACTGTTCGTGCTATCCTTGGTGCAGAATGCGATTTTCCCAAGTACCGCCTATTGTTAGGACTGGAATACTGTTCACTAGCAACAGTGGGACAACTGGGACTGCTACAACACCCTAGTTGTAAGGTATACGCTTACCACCAGAACCCAAAGGGTTCAAATTGGGACAAAAGTGAGGACAGAACATGTCACTCTTTTTTTGCACTCAGTTGGAACTGGTTGATTAGATCAGCAGGTTATTCTAGAGAACACAAAGACTGGTCATATGATTTGGCCAAATTAATATTAACTGAACACCCAGGAAGTAGCAAGTATCATACCTGGAATGACACTTATATACTTATATAACTCATATAAGGTAAAGGTAAAGGGAAGAAAGCTTAATTAAGTACTACAAAGGTAGTAATTAATTTCCAAGATAATAAAATAATCTTTTATCAAAATGTCCCTTGTCTGCAGCGTTTAGACTAACAACTTGAGTGCTTACATACCTAACTTCAGTTCACAAAAGCTCTCTTCCTTACTGTCAATGGATTAGAACCTGCTCTAGGACGCTGAAGGGCTTGGAGCCTTCCTCTCCACGGCAAAGGCAACATAGAAAGGCAAACCAGGTTCTGGCTTTATGATTTGTATCCAAGTTGAAAAGGAAAAAGAGCAGAAAAAATTCTGGAATGGCACTTTGTGTTCCCTGTCCCATAGAAGAACTTACCTGTTTTGTCTACATTTGGAGTACATATTCACTGAGAGGCTGCAACCCAATTATTAATGTGGCCATAAAATCATCAGCGAAGCCAAACCCTACAGCCTGGAGGCTCTAAGGACAATTAGATGAATTATCAAAGCAATAAGCATAATGGATAACATAGCTTCAAACCCTCTATTGAGAACACTCTAATACTTAATAAAATCCTCGCAGGCAAATGGGATTGACAGTAGCTACTGGCAGTCACCTTTGAGTTAACCTCATGACACAGGTCAGTATTTTAAATTATACCCATCGGTTAATCTCTGACTCTGTGGGCTTCAAACATTTAACTCCTTTAAATGACAACAACAACAACAAAAACATACTATACAAAACCTGAGAAATATACTGAAGGGTCCCTCCAAAAAAAAAAATTCATGGTAATAAAATCTTGAAAATACCTCTCTAACATGGGAGAAATATAACTGACCATCAGGTTTTCTTTTTAATTGTCTACAAACAGAGTGACCACAGGCATGAGTCCATACCCAGTAGGCAAAATGATCCCCCTGCTTCTTATCAACAGACATCAGTCAAGCCCAGCAATTTCCCAGAAATGAGTACACTAGGTTATTGTAAGAATGAGAAATAAGAGTCAAGAAGCAGAATGACAGTGACACTATAGAAGGAGACAGATGAGGGGCAGCATTGTATTTCCATGTCATTCTTTCAGCCACAAGTAAGAAAAACTCCATAGTGGCCTCCCACTAAATCCAATACCCAGCGGCTTCCCATTTTATGTGATCTGCCTTCATCCCTCTACACTACCACTTGTTCCATCTATTCTAGCCACATTTGCCTGTTTTTCTGCACTGTATTCCCACTGAAGGATGTTAACATGTAGTCCATCTTATAACACCCAACCCCAGATCATCATATGATTGACTCTTTTTTATTAACACTCTGATGTAATTACAAATGCCCCCTCCTTAGAGATCAAGAGAAAGCCATCCTTTCACAACACTTTGTTAATTCTTGGAGCACTATCAAAATGATCTAAGCACCCATTCATCCATCCATGTATGTGTGTTGATCACCTGTCTCTCCACTTCTACTGTAAGCTTCATGAAGACAAGAACTTATTTTACTCACAAATTATGCCTGACACTTAGTAGGCAGTTAATAACTACTTGCTAACTGACTACATCAGGGGAGAAATGTGTGTAGTTTACAAGGTGATTAGTCTTCAAGGAAGAGCTAAAAAAAGGCAATTTCTTCCTGAAGCATTCCACCATTCAGAAAGAGAGTCCTCATGTGAATCTCAGGTGCCTGAAGCCCTTGTCCTCTCACTGCCAGATTCACTGACTGTCCCAAGCTGCCATTTACATGTAGTGCAGAACACAGATCCCAAAGTAGAAGCAAGGCGATGCAGAGCATCAGAAGCCTGAGGTCTTAAAAATAATGAGATCCTGTACCTGAAGTGTTACTGCATCCTCCTCTGTAAAATGAGGATAGCATAATTACTTGAACACTCAAGGCTCTAATGCAAGCAAGACACTTGGAAAGTCTGAGTTTACCAAGCAAGGAGGGGTGTTGATGCTGAAGAGGCTTGATAGATTCTGTTCTGAGGTCTAGGGCAGGAAGATTCTGAGAGCTCAGAGTGCCTTCCACTAATGGTTAAGAAATATCCCTGATTGTGCCTTCTTTAATCACCTCAAGTCTGGACATGATAACTATTATGTGCTCTCTCTCAACCCCTGGCTTGTAACCAGCAGGACAACCCAAAAGTGTCACAATACATTTGGCATGGAGCATGTCATTGGCAGGACTTGGGCTTAAGTAATACATTTATTTCCCTGTGCAGAATGACCTCGGTGAGAAGTGAGCCTAGGGTCAAGCTCGGGTAGAATGAGCTGGATGGAGAAAGGCACTATGCCTCTCCAAGTATGGGAGGTTGAGGAGAGCATGTGATGACCTGGGAGAATCCTGCCATGACTTGGACAGTTCTGGAGCCATGGAGGGAACTTGAGGAGTGTGCAGTCTTGCAACTTGTCGCCAACAGGAAAGGGCTGTGAATGAAAAATTGCCATGTCTGGTGAAGAACAAGGGAACGGTGCAGAACATAAGCTACTTGTTCCTTTGCTCTGCATAAAGCCAATAGGAGAATGGAAAGGCCTAAATGTGAGTATCCAAAGGTGCCAATATGGGATGTTACAACAGATAAAGGACAATATAAATGCAGTGAGGTATGATTCTAATTGTTTCGAATATAATGAATCAGAGGAATGCTTGGCAACACTTTGGGCCAGAATATGGTGACTTGATTAACAAACAGCACTGAACTCAAAGGTCATGTCTGAGTTTACCAAAGCCCGTAGAGACAATCTTAGCATTGTGAGCAGGCAATGCTTTTTTGTCAAGTGTTTATGTAAATCAAAATATAATGAGGAAACAAAAGTTATTTTCAAATTAAAACCCGTGATGCCTACACAACCAGTGTATACAGGGAAGGGGATAAAAATATTGACTATCAATGTTGACAGAAAACCTCTGTGCACACTATTACTTTACTAAGTCACTCTGTACATGTAAATTTGTCCCCAAAGTGATTAGAAGCCAATTCAGATGGAAGCTTTTGTTCTGCCACAATTTTAACAGATTCGGCTTAACCTGTTTGTCCCTGAGTGCAGAAAAAATTCAGAAAACATACACCTGTGTGTTGAAAATAGCAAAGAGGGAAAGCCAGGCAAAATAAAATAGTTGGGAGAAACCAGAAGAGTACAAAGCAGTGCCACACTAGGTTCTTGGGGTTGACTGGTCCAAGATAGATTCTAGGCAACCCCAACCTAGTCAAGAAAGTCCTTTGTATCAAAGCGTGTTTATACTACCTTCACCACTCTATGACAAAAATACTTCAATGCTGTATCTTTTAGCAGGAGGAAGTCAGCAACTCCGTACACACACACACACACACACACACGCACGCACGCACGCACGCACGCACGTGCCAACATTGGGTCTCCCAAGACCAAGAGAACTCAGCAGAGAATATGGTCAGAAAATCTGGGCAGACTGACACTCTTGTTACAGAGGTCAGTGAGTGTTTTATCTACAGAGCTACAGAGTAAATATTCTGAAATTCTGAGACCAAAAGGCAAAGTTGAGGATGCTGTATAGTTATTTCTATAAAAATTTTCCACACTCTTTACTGTCAAAATTAAAAATAAAAAATCTTATGGACACTAAAATTTAAATTTCTGACAACCTGCCTGTGCCCCAAATGTTATTCTTTCAATTTTTTTTCTAGACTTTAAAAATGTTAAATCTCCTCTTAATATTTTGGACAAACCAGGCATGGAGTGGGAGTGGAAGTGACTTGGTCCACAGATCACTGTTTGTCGACCCCTGCTTTAGCAGGACAAGAGGTGGGGTGCCAAAATCAAGCCAGGCATCAGAAGCTGATCTGTGGATGGTTTCTCCTCAAAGTTCCTCTCAAACACCATAATAGGAAGTTGCACTGCACCATCCCAAATTCCCTATGCTTGTAACAAAATCAGAGTATTGACTGCACCCAGGAGTTTTTGTTCACAATTCAATTTCAGTATCATTGTAGCAGTGGAGGCTGCTTTGGTTGAGTACAAGAAAGGCAGAGGCAGGAGCAAAGTGGAAAACATGGTATTCCATCTCCATGACCACGAGGAGCTCGGCATCGGGAAAGCATCTGATTGAGGCGTGCGCTCTGTAAGGCCAGCAACCCCCAGCCACCGCTTGTAATGCTCTCCTGTTCTTATCTTGTAGGCTTTCATATCGGACGGGGCAAGACACAGCTAATTGTGACACATGCAGGAACAGTGCATGTATTATCTATAGGTATGTCAACATTCTCCTCTTCCCACTGTTTTACTCTGAGTGACGAATGATGTTTAAGCACAAATGCAAGAACCGCCTGGGGTCATGCTGGGATGATTCTATCAGACAAAAAGTAAAGGACCTTCCTTGGACATAATTCGAAGCTACCTGTAAATAGAACGCCCTCAGGTATATGATCACGGGATGGAGGAACGTGAACCGATTTATCTTGCCAGTGCACCTCTGTGGTTTCAAGAGCTGGTTCACTTTGATGGCTTTCTCCCCTAGAATCAATGGCCATGAGCACTGAACTGTGTGCTCTGGCCACACTGTAAAATATAGGCCCTTCAGATGGCATAGATCAAGGCTTGAAAGCACTGTATGAGCTAGGATTGCCATGGAAGGACCTGGGCTGCACATACCACCCTTGCAATTATTTCACAGGAACTCCCAAGGACTGTGGCACCCACCGCAGAATCCCCTCTTTACCTACAGCTGTTCTTCATGTTTCTTTCTTTTTTTTTTTATTTAAACCTTGTTTATATAATTGACATCAACAGCAGAAATGTTCAACAGGCAAAAGCTATGACAGGCTTTTGGCAATAATTTAGGATTTTAAGTCATGGTCATAATCTTCAGAAAGGTTGCTATCTTTTCTGTTTTATTCGTTTTTTTCTTTTCATGAATATAATTTTCACAGAATACAACAGCAGTGAGAGATGTTATGATTTAGCTTAAAAAACGAAGACCAAAGATGCTCAGGTTGATCCCCTATCTTGGCTGTTGTGAATAGTGCAGCAATAAACCTGCAAGTGCAGATGTCTCTTTGACATACTGACTTCATTTCCTTTGGATATATATCCAGCAATGGGGCTGCTAGATCAGATGTTAGTTCTAGTTCTAGTTTACATATTTATCTTTGGTGTTCTGCAGACTGAACCTGAGATCTAGTACATGCTAGGAAAATACCCTACCATTTGAGCTAGGCTACACACACCCTTTTATGTTTGTTTTAGAGACAGGTTCTTATGTTTTCTTTGCCCAGGCTGGTCTCAAACTTGCAATCCTCCTGCGTCTGAGATTATTGGCATGCAACACCACACTCAACCTAGTTCTAATTTTTTGAGAAACTTCCGCACTATTTTCCAGAATGGCTGAACTAATTTATATTCCCACAAACAGTACACTCCTTTCCCCATATCCTTACTGACATTTTCTATTGTCTTTTTGGTAAGTCATTCTAACTAGGGGTGAGGTAACATGTCATTGTGATTTTTGATTTGCATTTCCCTGGTGGTTGGTGATGGTGAGCATTTTTTTCTATACCTATTAGCCATATGCATATATATATATAGAGAGAGAGAGAAATAATTTAAGTGATATGCCAAATCATCAAAAAAAGAAGCATAATTGAATGGCTGTAATAGTTACATACCTAAAAATATATAAAGGTGCTCCACTGTCCCCTCCCTCAACAAACAAACAAAAACCCAACCTCTAAAACAGCTTTGGAGTTACTGTCCTCTGCATCAAGATGTCAGACGAGGGCCAGGCATAGTGGAGCATGCCTGTAATCCAACTAGTTGGGAGGCTGAGGCAGGAAGTTCACAAGTTCAAGGGTAGTTTAGGAAGAAAAGCAGTTCAAGGGTAGGCTGGACTGCAGTATTGAAATTCTGCCTAAATAAACAATAAATCTGGACATTTGCAGTGCAATAAAGCTCTGGCCACATGATCCAAGCCTTAATGAGCTCCTCTCCATCAAAGCAGCACATCCCAGCCAGGGCCCAGATTCCTCAAGAGCAGAGCAGGGTCACCTGGAGACCTTTTCTGGGAGCAGACAGAAGAAACCATAGGCAGAGGTGGGCACTGACTGGCACATTAGCCATTCCTTACTGCAGGGATTCTCAACCAAGAGTAGTGATTTTGACTCCCAGAGGACAATTCGCAAAGTATGAAGGGAGACACTTTTAGTTGGCACAAGTGGGAAGGTGGATGGGCGGGTAGACACACATCTAGTAGGTTTAAGCCGGGGACACTCCTGATCTTCTATACTACAGAGGTCAGGCCCACAATAAAAGTCCTCAATTCTAAGATGTCCATAGTGCTGAAGTTGAAAACCCCACATTCCTGGGTGCAACCCCATGTTTCCATCTTATAAGCGCATCTCAGAGCTCTGGTCAGCAGGCAGGAGCCATAATGCCTGCAGTAGTGCCGGCTAGCATGGAAAGCTGCTGCTCATTCTTGGCTCTGGCCAATGTGGATGTGAAAATCAGACTCCACATAAGACTTTTCTTCAAGAACTCCTCCAAATTCCAAGCACAGAGACAGCCACCTTTCAGTCAAGCTGGCCTAGGGGATCTTTTCATATGGTAGACATGCATTTTGAATCACCAGTGAAAGAATGAACTTGGAAATAAACTAACCCTTCACTATAATCAGTAAAATAGGAAAAGGGGATGGTATATCTCTTAAGGCATATCCTTAGAGTTTAGCTTTTACTATTTCAGGAGCTAAATCTCATCCAGTCTTTTAATGGAACAAGACAGAAGCAGAGATTTCCAGAAAAGGTTCACAGGATGAGTGTTTCAGCCTAAACCCATTTAACATTTTGTGGATGATTGAAAAAATAATTTATTAGGACACTGTCCAATGTAACTGAAATCACTTAAATAAATTTATCTTTAAATCCAGAAGTGACTTAACATAAAAAGTGATGTTAAAAGTGATTTAACAAATCTGGGAAGGACAGGAATTTGTCTTTTCAGGAATGAGGCAGGAGTGGTTACTATTTTGAGTTGGCTGAACTAACAATTATCATGAATCTGAATGCACAAGTCCCTGGCCCTGTGTCTAAATGACCCATGAGTGTGCAAGCACCGCAGGAATTGTCCAGAACTCAGGAGGACACCCCAGGCACAAGGACAGAGGCAACATGATCACATGGTGGTCTTCAAAACCAAAATATGCGTGTCTACTCACAGAGGTCTTTTTACTGAAGATAGGCTTGCAGGGACTATTGATTTGGTGGTATGCATCTTCAGAAGCTGAATAGAGATGAGGTCATCAGCAGCCAAACAAAACCTGCATCAGCTCCGTTCACAAGTGGAAGCAATCTAGAGTAGTGGTGCTAGATTTAAAGTGAAGTTTGGGATGTCTCTTGCAGGAAAGTAGTTTAAATTCACTCCATTCAGAGTAGTAATAGCAAGAAAATATTCCCACCCACCCTCCCAGAGTTCTGTTGCAAATGGAAGTTACTCAGGCTTAGCAAGCAGATTCTGGAACACTGTGAATAGAATGGATTAAGCTGGACTCCCACTGCCTCCCCAACTCCTTATTTCATTCAGTCTCCCAACGATTCATTAAGACATCACTATTTCTACCAAGTTGAACAGCTCATCAAACTACTTCCCAACTTTCCTGTCATTTTGTACTGGAAATAATCAAAACTTAACAGATGTTGGACAAAAGTTTCATGAGGTCTATAGGAATGAATGATCAATCGAGGAAGTAAAAACTTACTCTGGTCAGTCAACTGAAAACCCAGGCCATGGGGAAATCATAGACACTGATGTGTGCCTGGTATTTTAATTAAGTCATGGAAATTGAAATCTTGCATCTATGTGGTTTAAAGTTTGCCAATCTTGTAAGAATGAGATGTCTTCTCTGAAGGGAGGAAACCCTACCAGAGTCTCAAGTTATCTTCCATGAATCATGACTGATTTCCTTTTGAGAAAGTGGAATGATGTCTCGTGATGAAATCTGACTTCAGACTTCTTCTGAGCACATACTTGAGTTGTCCTTATTCTTTTCAAACCCAGTGTCTGGTAGCACACCACTTTTTCTACAGACTCATACAACTAACAATTCTTTTGAACCTCATTGGTTTCTGCAACATTCAAATAATTAAATCATTTCAGTAATGAATGCAAATGGCATAAACAAGTCCAGGAGTAAATACAGCATATTCTTGGCAAGCATGTAGCTCAAGAGCAGAGGGTCGTGATCAACAAGGGAGAGGCCTATTACTCAGGAGCATCCATCCTGTGTGTCAGCAATGTCACTGAAGGACAGAGGTGAGATGGTGACTGTAGCACATCAGTTAGGGGCTCCTAAAATTCCATTCAAATGACAACGACTGATACAATAGGACACAGAGGACACTGGACTATTTATTTAGAGAGACAATCCCAACAAAAGGGGAAGGATTAGCTCAAGGTCAGAGTGCTTGTGGTTGGTCCAAAGCCTGGCTTTGGTACCCAGGCTCCTGAGTACAAAGACCTGTATCCTAGAATTCATGAACTTTGCTGTGAATCCCAACCCACCATTGCCACTTCCCCATAACTGCCTCAAACCCCATTTGAGATTGAGTAGGTTAAAGGAGTTTCAAAATAAAGAAATTTTAAAATGTTGCACAGCTGTGGTTATCCCAGAGGCTAGAGCACACTAGGGGCCATGACAGCTGCCAATGTCTCCCTGTTGCAATTTGTCATACCTGTTTGCTGGCAGGCAGACAGCCCGGGAGGTCAATAAATTTGACCCCACCTGTCTTGCATTTAAACTCTGATTTTGACTTGAAACCTAACTGCTCTTTTGAAGCAGCATAGAATCCCTGTATTTCCAGTAATGCTTGGCCCAGGGAAATGAGAAGGGTGCTATGTTAAAGACCCGGCTGTCTGTGGTTTTTATCAACACAACCCTGTAATAAATGTGTAGCTTTGCCATGGAAGGCAGTGCACATTTTTTCGTAAAAAATGATTCTGTTGTGGGAATATATAGGATTTGGAAAAAAACATCAAAAGGACAAAAGGTCTTGAAGCAATTTCAGAGAAAAGGATGCCAGGAGCACAAGTGAAAGGTTGGAAGCCTCAGCCTGTCAGAGCCTGCTGCTCAGATGCAGGTGCTCAAAGGCAAGGCTACTTGTCCCCTCTCTTTTGGGCAGTGTCCATTCATCTTTAAGTTCTGCAGGATCACACCAAGGGGTTCCTCCCAGCTCTGAAATCCCATGAACTGGTTATTTACCA